CACGTGCGACTCGAAGCGATGAAAGCTGTGCTTTTTCGGAAACGGCACCGAGAGGATCGAGTGGACCATGTCGATGGTGACGACTTGGTCCGGGTGCGGCGAGATCATCGAGCTGAGGAGCCGGAGCTGCTGGCGAAAGCGCAGAAAATCCGAGAAGCGCTTCCGGAGCACCCAGGACCGGCGTGTGATCGGGCACGTGATGGGCATCTCGTAGAGCGTGTAGTGGCTCGACCTGCTCTTGGTGCGGCGCGACGTCGACGACTTCATCGCACCCGACTGCTGCAGGTCCATCGTCTTGGGCAGAAGCGATGTGAACGCCATCGCGTACCCACTCGAGCTCGGCATGGCGAAAGGCGAAATGCTGTCCGAGGGCCAGCGCGCCACAGCCCACGTGGGCGCGCTCTGATTGGCGGAAATGTAACGAATGGCATGTCTCGATTCGCGATCCGACTTTTTTTGCATCGTCTGCAAGTTGCAGAGCCTTTGTCCGCACCTGCTTGCAGACGACCGTTCGAGACGATAATGCCATTCGGCTGTCCCCTGTCATTCGTTATCGTTTCGTACTACTGGTAGCGGCTTCCGACTAGTATTATACGTGGAGAGATGTGCAACGTCGCGGCTGCAACGTTGTTGCACTGTATATCCCCACGCTATGTCGAGTAGAATCCTGGAGTTTGAAGTGCGACGAGTCGAAAGAAAGGTAATCTACACATAGAGAGCACCGAGCAAGGATGGATTCATGCGACTGTATCGTCAATGGACCTTGAGGACATGCTGATAGAGCGCATTCTTCGACGCCGGACGGTAGGGCACTTCAACTCGTTGTTGTTGAAGTGGGTCGTCGTCTATTCCAATAGAGAAAAGGATGATGCTAAATAAAATTGGCGGACTTTCTTCGTTGTGTACACTCGGCGGAGAAACTTGATTTAGGCCGGCGGAGACAGGAGCGCGATCCGCGGGACAAGGTGCTGGCGCGGCCACTCGTGTTGGGCGAGGAGCCGGAGAAGCCGACGATGGCATTTCAACTCGTCACATCACAACCAACGTGAATGGAATCAGCAGCGTTGCATGCACTCGGACACTCGAGCATCTCGATTCCACTCGGCTTGGAGGGAGCAATTGAAGTGAATGGCGACACATGTATATGCATGTATGTTTATAAACACAATTCCGATGGCACCGACGGAGAGAAATGCTCTCGGGCTACCTCTACTCGACGCCCAAGACGGCCTCCAGCATGCATCAAGCCGCGTTCTGCTACCTCTGGCCGTGCTCCACTACCTCTGGTCGTGCTCCGCGCCTGCGTCTGATTTAACGTCTGGCGGGCCCGGAACGATTGCGTCTTTCGTGCCGACCTACCGCTGCCAAGTCCTTGGACGATTGCCGTCAAGGCGGCGCGCGTCGCTCAACTGCACCACAGTCTCGTTCAAGAGCCCGAGCAGCCTGCTCTTCGTCGGCTTCTCCAGCTTCTCGCTCAACACGAGTGGCTGCGCCAGCACCTTGTCCCGCGGATCGCGCTCCTGCCTCCGCCGGCCTAAATCAAGTTCCTCCGCCGAGTATACACAACGAAGAAAGAACGACAATTTTATTTAGCACCATACTTTTCTCTATTGGAATAGAGTCCAACCCACTTCAACAACAACCGACGGAGTGAAGTGCTGAGATCGATACAACTCCAGGTCTACCATCGCTGTCCAGCACGTGGAAGGAAGACGCCAACCCTGTTGGCCTCTCCGAAGGAAGCGAAGCTTGTCTCTCCAAATGGCATCGAGAGCCGCAAGGCAACTCTTGCACACAGCAGCTGGACACTCGACATGATGACAATCCTGACGTTGCAATAGGACGCCTGAAGGAGCGCCGCTGACCCATTCAGACCCTCGCTGCCTCCGACGCGCTGTCACTGCGGGAATCGTCCTGGTCTTTCGTTAAAATAGGGAGCTCGTCAGCCCAATGCTTATGCGCTAGGACCGAGAAAGGTGTTTTGAGCGGAAATGTCCTCACGACTTTCTCTCCGTTATCGTGCCATTGTAGTTCCACTCAGTCTCCAGAGCTATCATCAATGCATCCGTGGAATCGGCAACCTTTCGTACTGAATATTTCACCACACCCGATGTGTGTGTTTTTTAAATTTTCGATATATGTATACGTGTACTGCCTGTGTAAATCTGTATCAATCGATATCTCACGTCTTTTTCACGTGCGACAATTTGCACCCGGGTCAGGCAACATCTCCACCAAGTTGAAGGTAGACTGCTCTCATCTTTCTCGCACACCTTCATTGCGCAACTTCCGAAGCTCCAGCGCCGAGAGCACAGCTGGGAGCGCGCCACACACCTCGAAACGGCGACCCTTGTACGAGTCGTGGAAGGGCCCTGCTGGTCTCGGCTCCTATCTCTGGTCATATTGTCCTAGACCGGTATGACTGCAAACGAATAAGGGCTTCAGGTCGTTCTCGCGGAGGTCCACGAGGAGCCTAGTTCTGTGCGACATGTCGTGTCGCACGTGATAACCCTACTCATCCTGTCCACGTCAACACGCCGCCGCGTCCATGGCGTCGGTCACATCTGCATTGTCCCTCCCAAGCACAAAGCAAATTCGATGGCTCGATCCTTGGCCTACGACGTACTCGTCCAGCCCGATTTGCGTGAGCTCATTTTCGCGTACCAAGTTGGCATCTCGTGCACACTGCAGCACATGCTGGCACTCTACCAGGCGAAGCTCGAACAAGTGCAATATCGGTACCATCCCGACTTGAGCGAATTGGTCGATCCGATTCGTCTCCGTGGCTACATGCTCTGCCGCCTCATCCGCGAAGGCTACTGCGTCGAAGCCAACGAGCTCTTGGACATGTTCCCGGGTAGGAGCGATCTGAAGCTGCCGTCGCGCCTCTCGCCCTTGCTTCGGTGGACGGTCGATAGCGCGGCAAAGCACCGCGATTTGGCGCTCATCAAGCGGCTCCACGCACGCGGCCTTGGCGCGGCCTCCGTGCGGTCCATGGACTTCGCGGCCGAGCACGGGGACTTGGCCATTGTTGAGTTTCTCCACACGCATCGAAGCGAAGGGTGCTCGAAGATTGCGTTCAAGAAGGCAAAAAACACAAGGAGGTACTGGCCTTTCTCAAGGCGCATCGACCCAACGACGCGCGGGTCCGGCCACCGGTCTACGGCGAGCCCAAGGTGCCGTTGTCCGATGTGTTGTCGTGTGCGATTCAGTAATATCTTGGAGTATAGTTGACATATTGTACATTGTCCTGTGTGCTCAAAGGGACAGCGCGCAGAGTTTCTTCGGGAAAGATACCTTGAGTCATACGCACGTCCTGGTACGATGTGGAACTCGACGTTCTCTTCGCTACAAACGATTGCTGGGAGGGAAGCAAACAATAGGATGGAGTCGGTGCTTCTTCACCCACGATGCTGTATACAACGCACCATGACATGTTTCAAAACGACATTTTGTCCACGTCGGTTACATGTCGTCGTGGAACTGCCATAGCGAACGGTTCAGCTGAACCGTTTCGTATGAAAGAATGGACGTCAGAGCGTAGTACGTTTTATTTACACTGGTGTACGTACGTCTGCGTCCAACAGGGTTGGATGGACGTGGCAGCAGCATATCTATCGCACTGTTCGCGGATCGACCGAATCTCAAAAACACTTTGCCGATCGACTCGATGGCGCGCCGACGTCGACGGTCGTCTTCGGCCAAGAAGACCTTTTGACACGCATCTTTGGCTTCCAAGCTGGTCTCCCCAAAGCGCTCAGCGACGTCGTTCGCGCCTACCACGAGACGCTCGGCCACGTGCACTACCTCGACCACCCGGATCTGTGCGAGTCCGCGTCGCCGCCGCTGCTCCGCGGCTACATGCTGTGTCGACTCGTCTCCGAGGCGCTCCTTCTGCGCGCGTTTCCGCACCCAATCGACATTATGCTTCCGCTTCAACTCGTGCCCTCGACCGTTCTGGTCACGATGGACAATGCGCCGGCAGTCTTCCACTGCTCCAGGAGCTGCACGACCTCCGGGTTGGCCGCTGTGCGACATTGGCCGTGGACACCGCCGGCGACCTCGCGATCGTTGAGTTTCTGTCCCACGAGCGTCGTGAAGGCTGCTCGTTGAAGGCGTACGACGCATCCTGAGTTCCTTGAGGCGCAGCTCGAACGTCTCGCGGCGTCGATGCACTCGACGCGGCTTTGGTTTGCGCGCATCACGCAGTACCAAGGGCACATCCCGCGTGCGCTTCTTGACGCGTTTGATAGCACTACACGGAGAAGCTGCATCGAAAATGCACGCTGTGGACCACCTTCTGTCTGTGCCACTTGGCGACCGACAGCTGTCTCTTCCGCGGCTACGTGCTGTGCCGACTCGTCCACGACGCCCGCGTCACCGAAGCGCTCTTGCTGCTGCGCACGTTTGGCCAGCATCGAGAGATGAAGCTCCTTCGGCTCTGCCGAGCGATCTGAAGCGAGCTCTGGACACAACGCAGCAGCCACCAGATGTCTCACTGCCTTGCACGAATGTCACTTTTGCAAGTGCACGACGCTCGCCATGGACATTGGACATTGTTCGGTATGCTATTTGAAAAAGGCGCGAAAAAAATGGGCTAGAAAAACACCACAATTGCAAAGGGCAAACTGGCAACCGGTGTGGACAAGCTGTTGGACACGGCGTGCGACATCTCTGTCCCTGCGGGCATCCGAGTGGGTTGGTTTGTTAGTTTGAAAAAGAGACCAAGGTCCCGTAGCAGCGCAATGATCCCATCGTCGAGCTCTGCCCGCGCCGTCCTTACGCAGCCCGATTTGAGGGAGGTCATCCTCGCCTACCAAGATGGTGTGCCATGCTCGCTCCAGCACATGTTCCAGCTCTACTACGCCAAGCTCGAGATGGCCCAGTACCAAGTCCACCCCAACTTGAAGCAAATGCAAGACCCGCTCCGCATGCGCGGGTATCTTCTCTGCCGCCTCCTCCAAGACAACTACTGCGACCTCGCGCACACGTTCCTCGACACATTTACCGACGACGACGACATCAAACTCCCATCCCGTAGCGTCTCGATCCTAATCCGCAACACGATCGACAATGCAGTCCGCGCCCGCAACCTGTCGCTAGTGAAACGACTGCATGCACGACCCGCCATTGGCATTTGCTCGCAGCTCGCCATGGACACGGCGGCGGCCAACGGCGACCTCGAGATCGTCCAGTTTCTGCATCAACACCGCAGCGAAGGCTGCTCCCGGCTTGCGTTCAAGAGGGCAAAGAAGCACAAGGCGGTCCTTGCGTTCCTCAAGAAAAATCGCCCCCAAGACGAACACCGGCACGAGACGCGCGTTCGTCCCGAATATGATCCCGGCGAAGGAGCGATGAGCTGCGTCATGCAATAGGCCATGTCCTACAATACACTTGTCGTTGGATCGTGATGGGACGCCACTACGGCGCGTCCTAGAATCTTTTTGGATTTTTTCAAAAACTGGCCAGAATCAAGGCGTTGCAGCGCTCACGTCGGATTGCGTCTGCAAGGTCCAAAGCGTCCGGACCCTTGGTACTGGTGTCCACGTACTGTGTCGGGACACCTCGCTCTCTCCATCGTAGTCAATGGTGTATAAAGAGCACATAGACCCTTGTTATACAATGTGACTGCAATGGCGCTCGCTTCATCTCCGATCCCCACTTCTTCGTCCAACCATGGGTCAACAACAAAGATGATTTACCGCGGACGTGCTTACATACTGGTTTACTTGTCTTGACGTCATATTTTGATTCATCTACCAACTTGTGGTATGTCTCGTCTCGCTCGCTCTTCCAAACGCTTTGTACACTGCGATGGCCACGTGTCGACACCTTCGATCGCTGTCAACTACCGCTTGGTCGATTACTGCACGACGCAGTCCGGCTTGGAGGCGTCCTTGCCCGTGATCGCGCGGCCGTGGGGCTGGAGCGGCATCACGTCTTCATCTGCCGGTCGATATTCCCGGAGAAAGGTCACGACGTTCGTATGGCCGCGCTTGGCCGCAAACAAAAAGGCGTCCGACGAGCACCCTTCGCTGCGGTGTTCGTGGAGGAACTGGACGATCTCAAGGTCGCCGTTGGCCGCTGCAATGTCCATCGCATCGCGCGTGCACATGCCGAGCTGGCGTTCGTGGAGCGCAGTCAGCAGCGGGAGGCTCCGCGCCCGCACCGCGTGGTCCATCGTCACCGGGTACTTGGTGCCACGGTGCGGAATGAGAAGGAGTGCATTGGTGGGGCACATCCGAAGCAGCTGAAGGGCAAAGTCAATGTCGCCTTCTTTGAGGAGCTTGACGAGCACGTAGCCGCGGAAGAGCGCGGGCGACGTGCGCGCGCGCAGATTCGGCTGCGACTTGTAGAAGAGCCGCTCGAGGCGCTCGTTGTAGCGCCGGAACTCGTGCACGAGCGAGTTGGGCAGTCCGTCTTGGTAGGAGGCCACGAGTGTGAAGAGGTCTGGGTCCGTGAGTACCGCGAGGCTCGGCCCGCCGATGACGCGCGGCTGGCGCTTGAAGGGCAGTTTGATGTGCATGGTGGCCGGCGGTTTGTATTATACTCTGACTGCGGGGCTGGCTGACTGGCACTGATTGGCTCGGACTGCGCGTGTCGCAGCTAGACAGGGTCACGGACAGGACGCGGTGGACGTATGACAGACCTTGTCTACACTGACGCTTTGATAAATTCATGTATCAATTAGGATTGATTTAAGGTTATGCTAACTCTTGTGGAAAGGGTTGTCGCTGCGTTGGTGTCCAACACGTGTTGGTGTGTATTGGCTGTGAGGGATTCCGATGCAAGCCAGCGTTTCGAAACAGTGGATCGCCACAAGTGGTTCACAAATTGACACGTGCACAGCGTTGTACGATTGCCACGATTGTGCTTACATATCGACTATAGCCAAAGCGGCCATTGTCGAATGCGTAGGTTAAAGCATCGTTAATGCCTCCCGCTATGGGTTATACTGGTGTCGAGCCAGAGCCGTGGACCGGCACATGCGCACGAGACGACCTGCCGGTTGGCCGCATGGTGACAAGCACGCTCGTTGCTGTCGGACCTCAAGTGAGCTCGAGCTTCTGTCTCTAGCCGGATCCGGATAAAAATTGGGCGTTGTGGCAATCAATCAAGATACGCTGCATGGCGATCATAAAGAGCCACAGTTTCCCTGGCCATGGCGCAGCGCGGAAATGTCTCGGAGGCGCATCAAGGCGGCCTTCGAGGCGCATGCCATTTGCCGATTCTCAGTAGCAAGGCGACCGCTGGGAGTAGCCTCTGAGCGCTTATTCATGCTTGACGTTGCCTGCGACCATGGATGGGCAAAGAGCCTAACAAGCTTCGCCCGATGGGCCGTGCGTGCCGTCGCCAGAAAAGAGAACTATAGGTTGGGAGACACGACCCTACTCGTCCGTGATTACGATCCGGCTTAAGACGCAGGCAAATCATTCGAGTCCGTGTCGACGGACTCTTAGTACTGCTTGGGTGCTTGGTGTTCTGCAGGTACGTGCGGTATCTGCCCCGCCAATAGTTTTGCATGGACGGCAGCCGGCAGTGGGGCAGAGCCAACATCATGCCAGCACATCGTGTCAGCTATCATGGGCTTGCGATGACGCTTGATGCGTCATGCGCTCAGCAACGATACCAGTCGCCAGCCCACCTCGCAAAACAGAATGTCGAGTTGGTATTCTGTTTCAAGATGCTGTACGCAAACGCTGCATACAAACAGAACGTCAAAACGCATTATGAGAGCACCATTGCCACTCGCTCGATCGCACTAGTGCAGCTCGACCGAGCACTCTTCCGCAGCGCGCTATGGCCTATTCCTTGTCTTTTCAAAGGGGTCACTCCATGCTCCGCCTTTGTAACCAGGCGGTTGGCTTGGCGTGGGACGGGGCGGAAGGCCTCGATCGGTCGTCGCCTCCTGTCACGTTCAACGGCCATATCCGATCAAAGTGCATTCGATGGGACCGATGGCGCACACCACTTGCGTCATCTGCTACGACGCCTGCGCGCCTGGCGCATGGTACAGTGCCCTCCTCCGCGCCGTGCTTGGTCGGCCACGGCAGGACCGTGACGCATGGCACGAGCTACCGTGCCGGCACTGTGTCTGCGTCGCGTGCCTGCGCCAGTACTTGTCCATTCCGGGGCCCATGACCTGCCCTGTCCAGAGCTGCAGCGAGGTGATTGGGCCTTCCCATGTACGCGGCCTCGCGCTCCCATCGGAGACGCGGTCGCGGGTCGCGCAGATGTACCGTCTCCATAAAGGCCGAGGCGTCGCTTGCCCCGAGTGCCAGTACGTGAGCGCGGCAGGGCTCAAGCCGCGCGTGCCGTGTGCGCGCTGCCGCACCGAGCTCTGCAGCACGTGCCATTGCCGCTGGCACCTTGGCTTGTCGTGCGCCGAATACCAACGCCTCCGCAAGACGACGGGCCCAGTCACGGCCGATGACGTGGCGTTTTACCACTGCGCGCGCGAGTGGCGCTACCAGCAATGCCCCCACTGCGGCATCTTTACGGACCGCCGGTCGGGCTGCACAGCGATGCTGTGCCGGTTGTGCCAGAAGCGCTGGACGTGGGGCCGGTCGTGACGCTTTTCTTGGTTCCGCGTAACGTGTTGTCAACTGTATGAAACCATGGGATTGCTTGTTGCGTGCGTGGGAAGAAAGATCGCGGTGGACTAGTATCGGTGCAAAGGCATGGCGGGTGGCTTGCTTGTAAACGCACGGTCGACAAATGCAGGATTCGCTTGGCACCGCCCTCTCTGCGTGTTTGGACGAGGGTCCATCGCATCGATCAAATTGACGTCTTTGTCTTCTAGATGATAGCCCCTCGCAATGACAGTCTATACTGTGGATAGGTAGACACCGTACCCAGCCTTTTCTTTTGCTGTGGCGGCACCCGGCGGGCAGGACAGCTCGATTTCAGATTACCCTACCCCTTGCGATGACAACCCTAGCCCTGCCGCGTGCTCGCGACGTCGCCGCCCCGCGCCGCGAACTACAACGTTGATTGGCACTACCATGTCGCACCATCAAGGACATTATTGATACCAACCATGCATAATGAGCTATCGCATGAGTACAAGACAGGTCGTGTCGGCTAATGTATCATAACCTATCTACCAGAGAGGACATTCGACGACAGAGTCGTGTCGGCGGCCGCTCGGGCCCTTTCCTGCATGCGCAAGTGGGCTACGACGTGGTGGGGCCGTGGATGAGTCCGTTGAAGAAGGGGCGACCGATGCGTGACAAAAAGGAACCGCATCGAGGACCTGGGCAGCCGCCAAATCGAGTGCGTTTGTCGAGCAACAACCGAGCCGGTGTCGACGCAGCGTCTCGAGTAGCGCGACGCTGCATGGGTCATCGCATCCACCTCGTCACCGCGTGACGCTAAGTCAATCAACGGCAACGTCGATGTTTTTGTGGGAAACGCCGACAGACACTGCATCGTTAGCGCCATTTGCTGATAACCTTCGAGGCGCTAGCAGAGGACGACGCCGCGGGCCATTTGGTGTGACACGCAGTCGCCTCGGGCAGGCCGCACTGGAACTGCGTCATCTTGTGCACGACATCAAGACGACGTGCATCGGGTCGAGTCGCGTAGGTAGCCCTCGCCGCCGACGCAGGCATCAACCATTTGCACGCCGGGGATCGTGGTGGTGACCATGTGTTTTCTCATCGATCTGAGCCGCGCAGTTGCCGCGACTGGCGCCAGCTTCCGACCACGTCCGAGTAGCTTCATCGTCCCACGCTGCTTTGCGGCGGCATGGCGTCGACACGCAAGACATGCAAGCGTTGTACTTGGTCTTAACATGACATCGACGACAACAATTAGCAGAGGACTAGGAGACGGGCGGCGCGGTCAGCAGCGTCATGGCTTTGCGCGACCATGAGCGCACGACGTGCTGCCAATGGCGCTTCTTCCGGCACACGAGCTGCGGGTATTTGGCCTCCAAATACTTGACGATCTCAAGGAACTGGCCTTTCCACGCGCGCTCGAGCCCCTCTTGCGTGCAGCCTTCGGTTCGGTGCTCGCCGAGGAAGACGACCATCTCAAAGTGCCCGGCGGCGGCCGCTGCGTCCATGGCTGCTGTCGTGCAGCGCCCAAGGCCGCGCGCGTGGAGCCGCCGGACGAGGCCGAGGTCGCGAAGACGCGCCGCCGCGTCGATTGCGTAGAGGAAGGCCCAGTCGCCTTGGGGCGTTGTGAGCGCCGGCGCGGCGTCGAGGAGGCGGTGGGCGCGTCCGAGCTGGCCGTCTGCAATGAGCTTAAAGAGCACGCGGCAGTAGAAGACCGGTTTAGCGCTGTACTGGGCAAGCCACGGGTTGAGCGAGTAGCAGAGGTCGTCGAGGATGCGCGCTTGGCGCGTGCACGCTTTGGCGAGGTCGCGCGGCAGGCCGGGCTGAAACGCCGTAATGACGCGAAACACATCGCGCTGCTCGAGCAGCGTCGTCCATGGGGTCATCGACGTGGTCACTGTGCGTCGCATGGTAAATGGCCAAGTGGCTGCTGTTCCATGGCCAACTTCAACGTACGAGGATATGTCGTCGTCGGCGTCCTTCGGTGGGCGGACGGAACGTGCCAAGGAAGCTCCAAACGGGGTGCGCGTGGCTGCGGCCAATCATCCCAAGCCCACGAAGCGCTGCGTGAGCACGTCAAGGCACGGCCACCCGTGCGGCCAGCCCATGGCTCGTCTATGGGGCACACCCTCGTGATACAGAGCATTGATGGGTGCCGATGGAGGTAGGAGGCGCGGTGACGTGTGCTTGTACCTGGTACGCTTTTGCACGCATCTTCGCGATCGGTGATTCCATGTGTGACGAGGCGCGACTGCGGAGGAACATATTGGCACCGTGCCTCTTTTCTCAAGGCCCCGTTGGCTTGCCCTAGCGTCGCACTGTGGTATGGATGGAGTAGCAGGATGGCATAGCTGGAAGCTCGCAAACCGGTGTGCGCACGCTATTCATAAGGTGATGGCGACAAGGCGATGCTCTCCACCGATGCGGTCGAGCGCATAAAGCGGCCGCAGACACCAGCGCGAGGATTCCAGTGACGCTGTTCGTTGCATCCACACGCGCAAGAAAGATCAACTGCTCGCGTGTGCATGTCGCCCACAACGACGTGTCCACGCTGGTGGTGATTCAATGCAGCAGGGACTGTTTCTCGTGGAGCGGTTGACACATCCTAGCAGCTCCGAATGTAATGTGGGCGCGCGTTTGGCGAGGCAATTTCGTATCCTGCACAACCTTGCGTGCGACCCTGCTTTCGTCTCAGCGCAGCCCCACAGAACGAGTGCCACGACCTCCGATGGTCGTCTCTCGCAGCGTGTCGGTACATGGCCATCGCCAACACCGTTTCGCCGACCATGACGCATCGCGCGATGCTAGCGAGCACCTTAGCACCTATGCCATGTATAGAGGATCGCATGGCCCATGTACATGCAGCCCTAAGGGTCGTACACATGGAGCCAGTGTCCCCTGCACGTGCTCCTTCGGCAGCGATCCTCTCTTGCGGTTGCCTTCAAAAGCAAATCTCAATCGCCATCGTAATAAAATGGCATATTTAAAGTATCTGATTTATGGCGTATACAAATACGCTGTATAACGGGCATAAAATCAAAATCGAACATTGAATTGAGACAGAACCTCTCACTTTGCATGTCATCGATTTTACGGGCCCCCTCCTTCGTAATCGTCGCAAATAGTGTACTATACAATAACCCCACGTCGTTCAGGCACATTTGCGCTTCTCTTGGCGGGTCGAGAGCGGTCATCCTTTTTAAAAGTGCTTGGATGAGGATTGCATGCAAAGAGCGGGCTCTACATGGTATGCAGATGGCGCAACGCACAATGCCAGCGAGAGCGACATGAAATAGTGTACGCTCAATCTTCGCGATCGGTCCCTGGTGGGGTCCCTCAAAACCTCTACAAGTCAATACAAATGACTGAGCAAATGCCCACCACAAACCGTTTTTGCTGGCTGTCCATCCACCTGCGCCATGCTGTCCCGCGCCGCTGTCCTTCATCGCCGCTTCGCGACGGCCGTCCGCTTCCACGCGCAAGGCGTGCCCACGGAAGTCCTCAAGTAGGCGCTCCATGCTGCGCGTGCGATGGAAGCTCATGCATCGCCTAGGGTCGAGGATGTTGGCCTTTTGCCCAAGACGCTCGGCCAGCACGAAGTCGCGCTCAAGTTCTTGGCCGCGCCCGTGAACCCCGCCGACCTGAGCATGGTCACGGGTGGCTACGGCATCAAGGCCGCGTTGCCCGCCATTGGCGGTAACGAGGGTGTCGCCCGCGTCACGGCGGTCGGCCAGGCCGTTTCGACGCTCAAGGTCGGCGACCGCGTCATCCCTGCCGTTGCTGGCTTTGGCACGTGGCGCACGGAGGCTGTTGCCAAGGAAGCGGAGGTGCTTGTCGTGCCCGAGTCGATCCCTGTCGAATACGCGGCCACGTTGGCGGTACGAGCGACGTTGGAGGTTGGGCGTGGACCGAAGCGAGCGCGTTGTAGGTGAACCCGTGCACGGCGTACCGCCTCTTGGCCGACTTTGCCAAGCTTACGAAGGGCGACGTCATCATCCAGAACGGCGCCAACTCGGCTGTCGGCCAGGCCGTGATCCAGCTCGCGGCCCTCCGCGGCATCCAGACCATCAACGTCATCCGCGAGGACACGGACTACGCCGAGACGGTCGAGCACCTCAAGGGCTTGGGCGCCACGGTCGTCGTCGCCGACCACTACCTCGGCTCGGCCGACTTTAAGCGCCTCATTGCGGACCTCCCCGCGCCCAAGGCTGCCTTCAACTGCGTCGGCGGCCAGAACGGCCTCGAGATCACCAAGGTCCTGGCCAAGGGCGGCGTCGCTGTCACGTACGGCGGCATGGCCCGCGAGCCCGTCATGACGTCGACGACCGCGCTTGTCTTCAACGACATTTCGCTCCGCGGCTTTTGGATGACGGAGTGGTCCAAGCACGCGCCCGTGGAGGAGCGCAAGGCCATGCTCAAGGTACTTTATCATCACCATCCATATATCGCGATGCATCCACGATGGCTCATGCGGTGTGTGTTGTAGGAACTGGCAGACTTGATGGCCCAGGGCAAGCTGCGCACGTGGGTCGAGACGCACCCGTTCAGCGACTTTGACGGCGCCTTGGAGAAGGTCGTGAACCGGTCGACGAAGCGCAAGGTCGTCTTGTTGATGGAGTAAGTAGCCATGAACGCGATTCCTGCGAAGAAGAAAACCGAGACGTGTCACCAATATACCATCATGACGTTGATTTGCTTCCTGGTTGCCTCTGAGGCCTTGTGCATGGTGATGGCAGCAGTGGCTCTTGTAACGAAGGCAAGCGATCCTCGTACGCGCATCCAGGCCACGGAGGGCCGACATGCAGAGCGCTTGCAAGGCTCGTGCCAAGCTCTTGCAAGGCTTCTGCATCGCTCGAGCAAGGCGACTGCGAGCTTGGGCCAAGAGACTCGTGCGCCTCTTCTTTGCCTTGTTGGTGGGCACGCTCGCCGGCGGCCTTTTCGCGGTCCATGCTTGCCACCTTCAAGGGTTGAAGTTGCCGTCGATCCGACGCGTCCATGGGACGGCGCTTGTCCAGTAGGATGCCATGGCCAGCCAAGGGCCATGTCATTGCAGTGGCGTTGTCATTCCTCGCATCGGGATGGCCGTCTCGCGCTGCATGTGCACGGCGGTCGTCGCCACTTGGATAGCAGATGGAAGCGAGCACGCATTCTTCGATTGGCAAGCTGTTGGAGAGTCGCACCACTGCCGACCGATGCTCGACCGTCCCGCAGCAAGTACGACGTCTACCGAGGGCGTCCCGCGCTGGCGCTGGGCGGTTCTAAAGGACCAGATCTATGAAGACAACTTCCACAAGACGGCGATGCAGAACAAGGTCAACTACGTCAAGAACGAAGTGCTCTCGCGGCCGGCGACGGCGACGTTCGAGGACATGACGCGCGACCTCGGCTTTGAGCGGCGCAAGAGCGAGCGCCAGCGCACCATGGCCAGCTGCATGGACCTCGACGTGCGCCTCCGCCTCGTCGTCGCCGAAGCCCGCGACAAGGACGGGCCCATCATGGTCGCACACGTCTTCCGCTCGTCGCACACGCCGACCGACCGCAACTACCGTCAAGCGGGCCGCGCCGCGCTCGCCGGCGACTTTCTCATCCACGGGTAGCGATCCCCTTGCATGGTCGCCGACGAAATGCATGTGATTTACTTGGACGACTCGGTTCGACTGCAACACGAGTCATGGGCCAGGCGGGAGCGAGGCGACGCATGGGCAAGCAGTCGCTTGCGTCGTCGCAAGCAGGTGTGCAGTAGAAGGAGGTGCATCGACCCTCTCTCGAGGTGTGGCGAAGGGATATCGAGGGACTCGTGGTCGGACGAGGCTTGCCTTCTTGCACGGCGTGTAAGCATGCCAGCCTCGTAGATGCCGAGCTCGGGGATATGGTACCGATGAACGAGGTAGATGATGATCTCTGCGCCCGCGCTTGCTGTGGTGGTCGGCAGACGCTAGCGGTCTGTTCGGCTCTATGCATGTGATTGAACTCATTTTAAGGGAGAAGGTCCAGCTCAGCTCCGGGGGTCAGATACAGGGGTATTGATTCTACATCAAATCGAGCTGTCTGGAGCGTGGAGCCATTTGAAGCGACGACGATGGCGGCTGAGGATCTCAAGTTTGCATCCGCCTTGCGTGCGTCCTCCGCCTCCTTCCTCCTCCAACCGACACAGTAGATCCCATGCTTGCTGCGGCTCAAGGTAGTACGTCCAAGGGGACGTGGCAGCAAGCAGTGCAAGGCGTCAGTGCGCGTTCGAGTTGTGTCGCATCGTTGCCAAGTGTACGATGCGCCACGTCATGAACTAGAGGTACGTATACCATACTGTGTATAGTATTGGTGGTGGGGGACAATAAAAGAGTATGCTTTTTAAAAAGCATTAACCACTGCGACATACAAAAACAAGTATTAACGGCAGCTTGCGGCAAATAAAGATGCTCTATTTGTTTCAATTATAAGACTGTGTTGCTGCCCAATCACAAGCGACGAATTAAGTACTTCAACTTGATGAGCCAATCAATGATCAAGTGTCCAATTCAAACACTGGATGACTCGCAATCTAGTACCTCTTTCGTTATTGCTGCTGGCACTGGACGCCACGGGGCTGGCCACAATCGTCGTCGTCCGAGTCGTACGCCTCCTGCTGGGCCTCTCGCTGGGCGGCCTTCGCATCAAAGTCGTCGAGGAAGCACTCTTCCGAATCGCTGTAGCGAGGACGGACGGGCTCGGGCAAGGCAAACACGCTCTGGAGCGCACGGACCTGGTACGCCGACATGGACGTCGGGAATTCAATCTTGAACAAGATGACGAGCTCGCCTTTTAAGAACGGGTTGCCGTGCTGCGGCATGCCTTCGCCGTGCACCGCCTTGAGCTGGTTCGGCTTGATGACCTCGCCGGGCTTGGTCTTGACATGCAAAAGGCGGCCATCAAGGTGCTCGACGATCGTCTCGAAGCCGCAAAGCGCCTCGACAAGCGTGATCTTCTTCTCCATGATAAGGTTGTCGCCCTTGCGCTGGAAGATCGCGTGCTGCTTCTCCTGGACGACAAACACAATGTCGCCGGCAGTCGTGCCAGGCGCCTGGTCGCCCTCGCCCATGAACGTGATGCGCTGGCCGTTGCGCATGCCCTTCTCGATGTTGACTTGTAGGACCTTGCGTTCCTTCGAGACCTTGTTACCCTTGCACGCCTTGCAGCGATCCAACTCGTTGATCGTCTTGCCTCGACCACGGCAGTCGGGACAGACCGACTGGACCTGCTGGACCATGTTGGGGCCGATCTGGCGGTGCTGGATGCGCATGCCACGGCCGTTGCACGTGCCACAGCTTTTCTCTGCACCGGCCTTGCCGCCACGACCTTCGCAAGCACCACAGAGCATATCGCGGCTCACGGCGAGCTTGACCGTCTTGCCGTTGTACAGATCCTCAAGCGACACCGTGAGCGGGTGCGCGAGGTCCTCCTCCGAGGCTGTCTTGGAGTACTGGGAGTTGTCGACATTGCCGTGGGGCGCGCCTTTGCCAAGGCCATCGCCACCAAAGAAGCTCTCAAAGCCACCGCCCCGCATGACGACCAAGTATCAAGTCTTTGTCGAGATGAAAAATGGTCCATGTGAGTTAAAGGGGGAGATTTTACACTTGGTAGCTATTTTGACCATAAATTATCAATTGGTCCCCATTTTGATCAGTTATTATCAATTGGTCCCCATCTTTTTGTCAATTTATGTTTATGAACGGAGGAGTGTAGCGGACCCGCCAGCACAGCCTTTGCCGATGGCGTCCTTGGCCGCCATGAACTCCCAAAAAGCGTCTTCGAAAGGTTTCTGGAAGCGTCGAAGACAACTACTCTGGTAGCTGGAAGACAACAGCATCAAGTAAACCTGTTACATACTTTAGCTCAATTCGGAGCAACCTCAGCAAGCCAATAGAGTGGTTGCCAGCGAGCGGATTTGGATGATCCCCGATGCAAGCTATGCTTGTACGAGCATCGTGCCGATGGGTGAGTCCTTGCCGAAAACTCACCAATCAAGCGAAAACCCACGTAACCACAAAGTCCTGGGTGGCGTGCGTCCGTGCCTTGCCCTCCACGAAGGCGTAGCACACGTCGCAGCCGTTTTTGACCATCGACTCCACCGACACAAGCATGCATGTCCAGTGCATCGACTGATGTTTCTGGAGGAGCACGGACTCTCGTACTTCTACAACACAAGAGCGACCGCGGTTGCTATAGTCACTTGCCATGCACCATTTTAAGCAAGGTCGACGTCTTGCATATATATGTGCAAACCTCTCGCACCATCAGGAACGGTAAAAACCATCGGCAAATAGCTGGGACCAAAACAACGATCAGACCGCCACGTCATTGTCTTGATTCTTGTATGGGTGGCAAAGCCACGCGTCCCGATCACGGAATGCTGGGCCCAACATTCTTCGCTTTGACCATGGCGAGCGTTGTGCTGACGTCGGCGCCGCTGGCAGCCATCATCGTTGGCTTCCAGTACGGTGTCTACGAGGACATTCGCTTCCGCTTCCTCGAGGCGCGCACCTTGAAGCTGACCACGTCGTCTACCTGGCGCGATAGCGTCTACGTCTTCCCGCCCGGCTTTCGGCCCATCTACGACTGCAAGGAACCGACGATGGCTGTGACCTTCTTGTCCCCATACGCGCTGGGCTTGCCCCGTGGTGCTTTGTCCGATGCGCGGCTTCCGTTGCACCTTGCAATCTACGAAGGCGACGTGGCAGCGACGCAGCGCATTCTGGCCTGTCGCCCGGATCTCGCATCTGCCGAGGCCATCGACGTTGCCTTCTACTGCGCCCGCTTCGAGTTGGCTTCGTCTCTCATGGAGCTGCGCCAGCATCTGCCGCAGCTTAGCAAGCACTTGTATCCGTGGAATACGACGGCCGGCAACAACAGTCCCATCGGGCAGCACTTGCCGATGCGGTGTGTATCCGAAGGCAACGCAGCACAAATTGAGCTGCTGCGAAAATACACGCGCCGAGGGTGGACATGCGATACCTTGCGCAAGGCCATCCGCGCGCGCTCGTTTGACGTCGCAGCGTTCCTCTACACGAACGTGCCCGAGAGTCACTTTTCTGAGCTCGTGAACGAGGCAGCCAGCAGTGGCATGCTCGCCGTGGTACAGATGCTCCATCGCGATGGCCATACTATGCCCATCGACGCCGTCGATCACGCTATTCAGACGTGGTCACCTCGACGTCGTCCGCTTCCTGCTCGAGGTGGCTGGCGTTGCGCCGCGCCAGTACAC